AACGGTCTACAAGGGCCTGGACACAGAGACCTGGGAGGAAGTTGCCTGGTGCGAGCTCCAGGTAAGCATGGGCCCCGAGGCCCCGGCAGCCAAAGTGCCTGCGTCTCATCCAGGGACCCTGCTCTCCTCATTGCGGATTCTCCCCTGGCTGAGGGTAGCACCGCATCCTCGCAGGCTCCCACGCCGCCACAGTCTGTGCACTCCCCCAGCCTGTGGGGATTGGGCTTGAGCGCCCAAGCTGCTCTCTGTGGCATGGGCAACCTGGGCTGTTGGCTGAGAAGGGCTGGGTGGTGCTGAGTGCGGGAGAGAGCGTGGGGGTGATGGCAGGGGCTTGGGGGCAGGTGTGTTGAGTTCCTCCAAGCTGAAGCTTCTCCCATCTGTACCTTGGGTCAGAAGCCATCTAGCTAGCAGGCGTACACTTAAAATAATTACGTTAGGGGACTTAAACTCCTGGTGAAGAATAGAGGCTACACACAGGACACCTTTCTAGTAACAAAGCCCTGCTGTCATTTCTGTTCTCTTCCTCCCCCCACTCCCCACTGGAAAGCCTCTGCTTTGAAAGGGTTTTTAAGCTGTCAAACACTCAGAGTTGAACGCCAGAGCGCACTTTTTTTAATGGGATGTGACTTCATTTTTTTTTTCCTGATAATTAAGTGTTTTGGTTAAGTCCAGAGTTTGGTGGTTTCAGCAAATGAAACTAAAGCCTTATGATCAAGTAAAACCTAACGTTTCCCATACCTCTAAGTGCTGTAGCTGGTATAGAAGAGAAGTCCTGGATTGTAGAATTCAGCCTCGGCTTCCTTTTTATGTCTCTCTGTAGTAAGTTTCTGGATGTGAAAATGAAGTTCTTGCAACAATTTATCTTTTCTCAGGCATGATATTGATGCACCTTCTCCAGCATGGGTTATACACATGGGTCTTTTTTGGTGAAGTTTTGGCATCTTTCATAAGTTCACCTAGGTTCTTAATGCTCACTTTCATGAGACCTCTGCTTTTGTGCCTTTTTTTTTCTTTTCCTCCCTTCCCTTTTGATCAGTTTTTCTAGACTATCACTTCATCTCTACTGTTTCATAGAATTAACTGAGGGTTCACAACTGTATCTTAAGTTATGAGCCCTGGTACAAACCCTGTATTTACTGGGCAGCCAAAATTCCCAGTGAATACAGGAGCTTGGTGTCATGGGTTGCAGTGGTATCCAAGCACAGCTGGTGAACAATGAATGGAAACATCGATGCTGAATATCCATGTGTGTTTTACACTGCGAAACAACTTTATTCTCATGTGACTGGCACATGAGCAGATGCACAGCCTAGTTGTTCTCCCAGATGATTTGGTTGTACAGTGTAGTTGCAATTCATTGTAATCCCAGAATGATTTAAAAAAACACGCAGGAAATGCTTCTCAGTCTTCACATGAATGTTTCCTTGTCTAATAGGAATCAGTGAAATAAAGAGCCCAGCAATACAGGCTGGGCAGGTAAGAGGCCTTTTGAGTGAGAACTGTGGTACACTGTAACATGGAGGCTAGGTAGAAAAAGAATCGGGTGAGAGAAGAGCCTAGGACTATGCATGTTGCTGTATGAGAAATGCAGGAGTATCTCCAAAACTGGAAGGGATTTTTCTGTAAATTAATGTTGGGATATTATGGAAAACCAAAGTTATTTAGCAAATTTGACTTGAATGTGTTGTGCAAGTTATGTCATAACATAATGGTCACAGAGATGTAGAAATAATTTTCCTGTCAAAATTCTCTCAGTTGTACTACTAGTTGATTTTGGTTTTTCTGGGGGTGTCTTGAATGGATTGAACATCCTGACTTGAAAAGGTTGCATCAGGAAATGGAAAGATAACTTACAAATTCCAATTCAAGCTCTCCAGAAACATGTATAATTGGGTGCAGAAATCTATACTATAACATTCATTGATGCTACTTCCTCTCCCTCTATCCACCTTCCTGCTTCATTTGTCTAGGAAATGATGATGCAGTTTTCTGTGAAGGTGTTAAAGGGTTAAAAACCTTTCAACTACAGTTCAAAATGTCTCCTTGTGGAAGGACTATCTGTAATCATTATTTTCTCATTAACTTTCATTATATAGCTCTAGTTTCAAATCTGGTTTTGCCACTAAATGTTTATTTCTCCATTTCCCACAGAGTTCCATAGAGCTTCTCTAACTTTTGAGGGGAAAGTCTAGTATTTTTGACCAGACAAGTACAAGAAAAGCAGTTAGAATTCATCAGATTACTTGCGTCTGCCACTCCTGTCAGTGTCAATTAGTTGTGCAAATTTGAAGGCAGTGTTGAAAGCCAGATAACATGAGGTTGTACTTGGTTACATTTTCAGTTTTCTGTTGAAAGCCAACATTTCTGTCTTGTGAATAAAGTGTAGCTGAGTGACAACCACAGGGGTTTTTTTTATTACAATGTCAGATCTATGTTCTCAGCACGTTTTGAAAAAAACAAATAGCCAGCCACATAGGCAAGTGGACTTTGCATTGTTCAGTGGAATTTGAGTTGTTTTATACTCATACAATCTAATTGAGAGTTCTTATTGTGGAAGCATGGGAGTGTAATCTGTGTCTGAAGCTGGCGCATCTAAATGTTTTTGTACGTTTCTACATGTACATGTCAATTACTCTACCTAGTTGTAGGTGTTACTGGGTAAGAACATTCAATTCAGCTAAGTTAAAAAAGAAAAAACAAAAGAAAAAAAATCCCTGGTAGGAAACCACAAATACCCTACTGTTGAAACCGTAAGATGGCTTCCTTGATAGTTTTATACCACAGAAAGTAATCAGAAGGCCTTGTTGCATAGCTGCATTTAAATGTTGCCTTCCTATCTAGCCTTTTAGGGGACACGTACACCTATGTACTTATCTTTTTTTTTTTCCCCCCAAAGAGTAATTGAAGTTTTCCATGCTGAACAGTTGCTCTCATTCAGTCTTGGCTACAGTGAATGCAGTCAACAAAACTAAATAAATTGTGGGAGGCTTTTTATTAAAGTATGATCATATCACAAGTATATATGAGACCCAGAGAATGAAAGGCAATGGAATACCTTTTCCTGCATGTAATTTGATTAGCTTTCAGTGAAGGCTTATTGAATATAATACAGAGTAGGAGAAACTTCTGCCTTTGAAAGATATAACAAATAGGACTCTTTATATTTGACTCTTCCCTCTCCCTGAATTGTGTATGTAGATGCCCCCACCTTGGCTCCTTTGCTGCACCATATCACAGATGCAGGATCATTGAGCAGAAGGTGAGGAGGGAAAGGGGGAGTCTACAGAACCTGGATGCAGCAGCAGCCAGAACCGTGGGGGGAGTGGTTTTCAGGTAGGATTCTGGGAGCTGCACATTAACCCCAGCCACCTGGGGACAGCCCTGCTCTGGACAAAGGCCTTGTGTATATTGTTTTAAGTTCACCAAATATAGTTTGTCTGAGAAATTTGGGGAAATAAATGGATTTTTCCTTGACCTACCAGAAATGTAATGCTTTGGTCTTGAAGGATTTTGTTTCATAGGAGAGTGGTTAAAGTTGGAATCTGATCATATTTTAGGCTTCAGATTAAAAGTTTAGCTGGAGCTAGGTTTTGGTTTGGTCAAGCTAAAATATGAACATTTTTTTTTTTTTAGTAAAATCCAAACTAGAAAATTAGGTTTTTTGACTTCTGAAAGGAGAATAGCTATGTTTCAAAGTAGCATGCATCCTAACTAGAGTCTCTGTTTGTTGAGTCAGGCAGCTGGGTTTTGCCTACCTAACAGTGGTAGAGTAAACATTCTTGCTAGCTAGACACAGGCTTTCAGACTCTTCAGATTTTCATCTAATTCCCCTTTAGGGACCTGTAGAAAAATCCAGGGGGAGTTGTAAGTACAAAACTACATCAATGAGAATGCCTCACTCCTACTTTTCACTTCCTGTTTGATTCTACTTATGAACCTTGATAGCTGGAGGTTCTTGTCTGTAGCTCCCCTGATGCAAACGTAGTAAAGATGGAAAGTGTTCTTTGCCTGAAAAGATCCAGAAGAGGGGCTGCTTATGAACATTATTAAAGCACCCCCTTTTTACAGTGGTTGTCCAATATCAAAGGTGGCTGTGTGTGATCTACTTTTTTTTACTTAGTTATGTTTGTTTACCACTAGTGTGTCTGGAGTGCATGAAGACTGAATATCCTGACAACAATGCATGGCATATTCTTAATGTTCACTGGAACAAATATTCTCAGTAGAGCTCTGGCTGTACATTGGTGGCTCCTAAATTTTACCTGAAATAGCTTTGGAATTTAACTCCTCCCCTCCAACTCACCTTCCTCAATTCCTCCCTATTCCAAATCTTAATTCTAAATTCCATTGCTTACTTAAGATTGCACTTGCCAAACCCTGCAACCCAACAGAGAGATCTGTCTGAGCCCCCTCTACATGTTATAGGTATCACACAATTAACTGGTTAATTGCACAATTACATTGAGACCAGCTATACTGCAAAGCGCCTGTCACATCATAAAAAGCTCCAACCAGCTATAAAGTTAGACATAAAAAATGTGTACTAACTTTAGAGCTGGTTGCTATTAAGCTTTAATTTGCACAGGTAGCAGGGGCTCCCCCGTGGCTAGGAGTCCTGTAACTGAGGGATGTCTCAGCCCCATCAGCTGCCAACTCTGGGCCCCAGGTTTGTGAAACCCCCAGGACTGGGAGATCATGGTTTCTGTAGTCTCTCAGTCCTGGGGGTTTCACACACTCCAGGGGCTGGGAGACTACAGCAGCTGCATCTCCTAGCCTTGGGGGGAGCATTGGGTAACCTGCAGCTGAGGGGGCTCCTGGCTGCTGGAGCTTGCTTTTTGCCAGTGCAGAGGGAGCCTGGGATTGGGCTTCCCCTGCACTGGCAATAACATACTATGGGATCGAATGTGTGATCCCACAGTCTTGCTTCTTGCCATGCATTTGTGGCACAGCAGGTGATGCAATTGTGTGGCTTGCACATTAGAACCCATTGCACCTTCATCTGCATGCGTAGAAGGGCCTTAAGTATAGTGTTGATCCCATGCTGGGTACCATTTTATAGAA